CAATCAGTTTGACCAGGGTGTGGCGTCTATCAGAGCTCAGCCACGGGTAAGAGACGCTTCAAACATACGGGTTAACTGAGCTTTGTTTAGTTCTGTGTGACCTTGAATGATTCCAGGATAAATACAGCTTACACTCATGTCTATGACATGCTGTCAATTATTTTAGTATGATTTATGTACTATTGTATTTATTAATATTTTGAATTAGGTTTTATTTTTCTATTTTCAGTTTTAATTTTAATTTGTTTTCAAGTTTAAGTCATTTTGTTATGCGCTTTTGTCATTTATAATTTACATTTTTTTAATATAAAAAATTCTATTTAGCTTTATTTTTGTGTTTTAGTTTTAGAAATTTTAGTTCTTCAATTTAAACTTATTAATTTAATTTAGTTGCCAAGGTAACATTTCTTAGTTTTAAGTTTGTTGTTCATCTAATATTTATATTTTATTTTAGCTTTATTACTTCAAATATTTTAAATAGATCTTTACTCTGAGGTAGATCAAGTTGTTACATTTTAATGTGGATTTTTTTTTCTTGGTGAATAAGTGCAAGGGACATGTATTATGAAATTTTGTAAACGGTAATATTTATATACTATTGTATTTAATTTTATTTTTGGTAATTTTGTAATGCGCTTTTGTACTTTTCATTTGATTTTTTTATTTTATCTTTATTTTTTAGCTTTATTTATGAATAGTTTTAAAAAATATATTAGTTTTAGTTGACTAACACTTTGTAAATCAATTTTACTCCGAGCTGTGTTATTTTAGTGTTGATATACTCTATAGTTTTTGTTAATATTTTGAATTAGATTTTTTCAATTTTCACTTATGTTTTCAGTTTAATTTTGGTCTGTTTTAGTCATGGTCTTTTATGTTTTTGTCATTTTTATTAGTTTTTAAATATATCTGTAATTTTTATTTATTAATTTTAGTTTGTTTACTTTGTTATTTTAGTACTTCAGGTTAAACATTTTATTTCAGCTAGTTTCCAGGACAGTACAGTACAAAATTAAAGATATAATAAAATACAAAATAAAAATAAAGTACAAAAAGTTTGTAATAATGTGTCAAATAAACATTAACAAAAAGGTTTATGGTTTTAGTAAACTATAATAACCCTGACACATTTTGATGTGAGATTATTGTATATTTTTAAATATTGCTTTAACTGCTATGTAACTCTGTGTTTTTGACAGGGCTCCATTAAGGTGCATCTTCAGAGATCTCCGCTGCTGTACGCTGACATGCACCCAGTGCACAAGACAGACGTGGTGACCGGATTCAACCAGATCCTGCTGGAGAGGCCCTGAGATCTCATGCTGTTAAAAGCTTTCATGCAATCAGTGCACCTTTGAAATACACTACATTAAGTGATATTAAACATTTAGCTGCCTTATTGTTAGTGCAATTCAGTGTTTAGTTGTATTTACTCTCTCAGGTTTCAGCGTGAAGCACAAGTGCCTTTAATTCTGCTGTGCGTTCAATCAGTAAACACTTGATTTTTTTTTAGCTTTATACAACAAAGCTTCCATTTTATACTAGCATGATCTGTCATGATTAAAATCATGTTTCTTGCACAGCTTGAAAATGATATTTGTAGATAAGATTTTAGTTTTTGGTCTGAATTTATTCATATTATTCTGCTAAATATACCAAATCGTGTATTTTCAAAACCTTGCATTTGATTTCCATTAATATCAGTGTACAAACGGATAAAATAACAGGCTTTAAAACATCGTGATGCTATAATGATATTAGTAAGTTATAATGATAATTGAGGGAGATACTGGAAAGTATAGTATTCATAAAGACTATATTAGTACAAGTTTTGTACACTTTTCTTGTCATCTTTTTTAAATTTTATTCATTGCACAATGTAAGACACACTGAAACACTACATGGTAAATACTGGGAAAAGCCATGGTTTCTGCATTGCTTACTTACCAAAGCAAACTGAATTAAAATACTGTTTGCTTTTGTATCTCTAGTTCTTCATTTTGTCAGAATACTTTTTGCTGTTTTAGATTGAAATGTATTTTTAAACACCAACTGCTCAAAAGCACAACACAACATTCCTCCGTAAATCATGAGTTTTTGGTTATGAGACACTGAATTGCATGTGCAAACTGTATTTATGACCAAAAATAATCTATATCTCTGTATATTTATACTCTCAGGGCGTTAATCAGCAAAACGTGACTAGAAAACAGGTTTTCTAGTACGACACATAGTACTTTAACAAACCAATCAGACACTTGTCAAACTTCGATAATGCCAATAAAGATCATTTCAGACTTGTTCTGTTTTTGATTTATTTTTACTCGATCTGTAGTCTGGAAGATTCATTATAAAATGCATGTAATTAATTACTGACTGCTGTATTGAGACACAAAAGCTCAGTAATGTTCAGAAAACATGAATATTCAACAACAATTTTTCAGAATACTAAATGCTACAAAGCTTGACAGCTATTTTATCGTACAGGTTTATTTATCAGATAGAAGTCTAAATTCTCTAAAGTCTAAAAGCCTCAGAAAGGTCCATCAATGACAAAACATGTTTCTTAGTATATGTTGTTTAAACCTCTGAAGAACAAGTTGTGCAAATGCTGGAATTACTCTGCAGATAGTCTCTTAAAGGAATAGTTCACCCCAAAATGAAAAATGTACTCACCCGCAGGCCATCCAAGATGCAGATGAGTTTGTTTCTTCATCAGATTTGGAGAAATGTAGCTTTCCATCAATGGGTGCTCTGCAGTGAATGGGTGCCGTCAGAATGAGAGTCCAAACAGCTGATAAAAACAACACAGTAATTCACTCCAGTCCATCAGTTAATGTCTTGAGATGCCAAAAGCTGCGTGTTTGTAAGAAACAAATGCATCATTAAGAAGTTTTAACTTCAAACCGTTGCTTCCGGCTAAAATATGAGTCCATAATAATCCATAATAACGCTTCCTCCAGTGAAAAATCCATCTCCTGTTGTCTCGCACATCAAAATCCACCAACATATTTGTTAGAACTCTTTTTGACTCTTTTCGCTTGTAAACCGTGCTTGATCTGTGCAGATTTCTCTCCTAATTCAGACCAGACCACTTTTCACTGGACTCTCATTCTGACGGCACCCATTCACTGTAGAAGATACATTGCTGAGCAAGTGATGCAATGCTACATTTCTCCAAATCTGATGAAGAAACAAACTCATCTACATCTTGGATGGCCTGAGGGTGAGTACATTTTTCATTTTGGGGTGAGCTATTCCTTTAAGACATTGTTGGCATTCAAAAGACCTTGGTTTAGTACAAAATTTTACATGATTGCATTAACATTTGTGTAAAAACCTGATGCACTTGTGTTAGGAATCGGTCCATGTGTGACAGTGCGATCCAATCAGAATTCATCATCGTCATTCTCTGCTTCTGTCGGTTCAATCATTTTTAAGCACTGATCAGCGAACTCCACGAACAGCGGCTCCTGCATGGCGTCTTTCGTGGCTTTGGCTTTATCTTCAGCCGAGTCCACGGACATCATTAACCGGCGGAGATGAGGATTCCTCAACAGACCCTTCAACGCCTCTGAATCAGCTGTGTGAATGAAAACCATCTGTAACTGATCTCATAAAAACAGCATTAAAGATCATGTGAACGGGGTGTTTATCATTTCATACCCAGCTGCTGAAGTTTCTGTAATGGCACTTTGTCAGTCTGTCTTCATCAACATCCTCGACAGTCCACAGCTGTTCAGCTGAAATCACACACATTTATTGAACTTTACAGAACTTTTTTGTTCAAAATCATCATCAAAAGCAGGCAGAAAAGTTCTCTTGATCGCTCATAAAGCAGCTATTATTGATGATAACTTACTCACCGCTGCTCACTGGTGTTGAGCTGCTGGAGGCTGAATCTGATTCTTTAACTGGATGACATGAATCTATCAGAGGAAAGAGAAATAATGACTTCAAGAGTTTGGTTTTGACTGATTTTTGACTTTGTGCTCAGGGCAGTCTGGTAGTTTAAGGTACAAAAGAACAAATAATAGTAACAATAACAACAAATGTATTACTACTACTACTAACAACAGTTATAATAATACAAATAATAATGATATTTATATTAGTAATAATAAAATAGAATTGAATGAATACCAATAATAATTAGTATAATACTATTTAATTAAATATAAATACAATAAACAAATAAATTAATATCAGTAAATAATAATAATAAAATATAATGTAATCAGTTAAAATAATTATAATTAAAATTAATAACAATAATAAATACTATAAATAACAATTGTATTAAAACAAAGTATATAAGTTAGTAATAATAGTAATATAATAACAAATAATAAGAATTATAAAGTTATACCAATAATAATTACATTAATACAATAATAATAATACATTAAATAATGCAACCAATACAAATATTTAATTAATAATAATAATAATGATGCAACTTTTAAGTAGAAAACAGTTGTCATGGGTTCGATTCCCAGGAAATGCATGAACTGATTCCGTATAAATATTGAAAGCAATGTATGCCGCTTTGGATAAAAGCATAGATGTAAATGTAATCAAAATAACTGTCAATAGAATATTAGCTTTAATAGAGACTTACCATCATCTTTGTGTCTTTTAAAGCAACTCACTGAACAACTAGAAGGGAAAGGAAGGTGCTATTTATTTGATCAGGATTTGTCCCAAAAGCAAACGTGAGCTGATAAACCTATTTATGGTAAAGAAAGACTGGAAGTTATCGAACATGAATGAATGACTTACTATCTGATTCTGCAGGCTGGACATCTGTATTTAGGAACATGCTCGCTACAAACTCCACAAAGCTGCATAACGGATCTAGAAGATCAACAAGCAAACAAACAGAATAAAACGATTTGTATTAACAATCAGCTTGAAGTTACTGAAGCCACGTGTTTATGTTGTTGACAGCGTGCAGGACTTTTATCTCATTTCCGCTTCCGAACGCTTCCGGTGTAGAGTGCTGAGGTCACGGTGTCCTTCCCCACGTGTGTCAGTCAGTGTGATCCGCGTTCAGCAGCTCTGAGCTCAACCGAACACGGTCGCCGTCATGCTGAAGTCTGTGAGCCGCGCGGTTCAGCTCGCAGCCCGGCTGTCCATCAGCGCGCCGCCCCGCAGCAGAGCCTTCAGCAGGGCCCTCTGGAGCCTCAGCAGCACCGGAGCGGCGTCAGGCTCCAGGCCGAGGCTGCTCACCGCGACACGGGCTCTGCCCACACTGTCCTGCGGCTGCGGGAGTCTGCACACCGAGGGTAAACGCTGCTCCACACGCACACGAGCCAAAAACTAGCATGGGAAACGTATATTTATGGTAAAGCTATGGACACTAACTAATAAAAAGTACCATGGTAAAGTTGTTTTTAATGGTAAAAGGTATGGACACTAACCAAAAAGTACCATGGTAGTTGTTTTATGGTAAAAGGTATAGGTACAAACTAAAAATTACCATGGTAAAGGTATATATATGGTAAAACTATGGATGCTAACTAATAAAAAGTACCATGGTAAAGTTGTTTTTATGGTAAAAGCAGGGCTGGGCGATATAGTTAAAAAAATTATCACGATATAATGTTTCATATCGTTCGGTATGGATAATTATTGACATTTTTTTTATAAAGAAAGGAAAACTTGAAATCGCATCATATGACCCCTTTAAACAATGAGCAGTAGAAAAAGGGTTTAAATTTAACCACTGTATTTTTAATTTACCCAATTTACTAAAGATTTTAGTAAATTGAAGTAAAAAAGTTTTAACAGTCAAACACAAAATAAAATTTAAACTAATATCTCCTTTCTCATATTTTATATGCAGATGAAATAAGTAAGGAAACATTTGGCCTGTCTCCTGAGTCCACAGGAGGGCGCAATGAGCAAAATAAAGCACCTTATTAAACTGTTTATTCAATGCAATGAAATAATGACTGTCTATAAAAAAGTGCACACCGTCTAAACTAATATTTATAAATCAAATATCATTTAGTAAATTGCATAAACAATAAGAACAAAACAGCATCATGTGTTTATGCATAGCTTAATACATATAGCCAAAGCGCTGATCACACGATTGCATTTAGAAACATACGAGACGCAGCGGAATGGAATAAAACCCCTACAGATTCTCAAGACGTGTGTTCTAAAAGTTGAACCTCTTTTAATTTTACATATCTTTCTATTCATCTCTTGTGCGAGACGCGAGTGTCATTTGAACTAACCAGTGAGGTGTCATTCATCACTAGTGTGTTGGTAGTAGAACAACAGTTGGTAGTGTTTTATTAATTCTGTCTTTACTCTTCAGGTGATAAAGCATTTGCAGAGTTTCTCACTGATGAAATCAAAGAAGAAAAGAAGATCCAGAAGAACAAGAGTCTTCCTAAAATGTCCGGCAGCTGGGAGCTCGAACTCAACGGCACAGAAGCCAAACTCATCCGCTCGCTGTCCGGAGAAAAGTAAGGGTCGTGTGTTTCATCCATAGTATCAGAATCATATGCTAATAATGATGCAAGCAGCACGATGGCCATTTCACACCTTAAAGGCTGATGCATTATGGCACACATGCCTTATTGCTAGGGATGTAACGATTAACCGCGAGCCGGTTGAAAATCGATTCAAATATGTGACGATTCAAATCGGTTGAGATGCTAAACAAATCGCGATTCATTTAGGGGTAGGAGTTTATATGAATGTATGTCTGAGGGGAGCTTACTGTCTCCACTGCTTTTATGAAGTGGTTGCCAGGTTTTCACAACAAAACCCGCCCAATCGTGTTTCGAGGGGGTCCCCATTAAAAATCGCGTTCCGAGGATAAAATACGCATGTTTTGGCGGGGTTCCCCTGGTAAAATTAGCATTCCAGGGGCTAAATATCACGTTGATGGGGTTGTTTTTCAACCCGCGGACTTGAAAAACAACCCGCGGCAACCGTGTTAAAGCACCACAATTCCGCGGGAAAACCGCAGACTTGGCAACACTGGAAGAGGATAGCTTTCGGATAGCGCATCAAGAACCGGGTTGACCGGGTACTCGGTACCACCGGTACTTAAGAAAACCTGGTACCGTAACGTTTTCATTTTTTTAGTACCGACTTGGTACCGAAATACCGGGTCTTTTGACAACACTAATATGAAGAGATTTATTTTATTTGTGTTACTTATTTGATTTTTTTGTTTTGTTTTTAAATTTCAATTTAGTTTTGTTATTTACATTTACATTATATTTAAATTTTGTCATTTAGCAGACGTTTTTATCCAAAGCGACTTACAAATGAGGACAATAGAAGCAATCAGAACCAACAAAAGAGCAGTAATATGCAAGTGCTATATTAGTATATTATTATAGTGTTATATTTCAATTTCACAAAGAAATGTGCAGCATTTTGTCCAAGCAATAATAAAAGGACA